AATGAAGACACTGAAGCAAAAAAAGCCATTAAACCCTGAGATCAAGGTTTTAATTTAAAAATTAAATGTTTGATCTGTTGTACGCTTAGCCTCTTATAGAACTCCTTTTGTTGAGTCACCGTAACACTGTCTTTACAAGAAAGCTGCACCTTTTCTGCTCACTCTATCATCAGATGAGTCCTAATAAAGCTTCTTGCTTCTGTTATAAACTATTAAATGTATAAATATCTATTTATATATACACACTGCAGATACATCCAAGGAAAGGTAAAAACTTAAATACAAATTTTCCCAAGTCTAGACAGACTTTTGCAAAGGCTAAACTAGTAGTTCAGCACTTTATGCTATTTTTGGTTCTGAAATTCTCTTGTCAAGATATGCTTAGTTTTGATGTCACTTTGATGTCTTAATGAAAAGGGCTGAGCTGAGAATACCAGGACCTGAAACTCTGTGTGTATAAAAGAGCTGAGAATTACTCCCTCACTGGCACACAAGTATTCCTAACCAGTGCTGTAAGTGGTAAAAGATGTGGGTGAGGATTACTTTAGCATTGGTTGCTTCCTTTAGCTAACAGAATCCGAATTTTTTGGCTGAGGTCTTCAGAGACACAAACAGAGGCCTGTTGTGGTACCATGTTTTTACTGTGAAATAAGTCCAAGGCCTCAGTTTATCTCTTAAGATGGATTAAAATAAAGTTGCTGTAATGCTTATCCTCCCTAAGTAACAATTTCCTTCTCAGAGTCTGCTCCCTTGAAAGCAGGAGAATCAAACGGCATGCAAAGCAAGCCCAGTGTCACCCCAGGTACCACTATTCACCTGATTTAACACCTTGTACAAGCACCTTTGTGCCTGAGATAGGGCAGGAAAAGTGAAAGGCAGGCAGGATATTTCTCAGTTTGTGAATTCTGTTTTCCTGAAGGTGCATTCCAAATCTCACATTTTAAAGATACAAGCAAAATATTCAAAACCTTCTTGTAAGTTCATCCTGAAACCATGTGTCAGAATTACTTGTGAAGAAGTTATGTTTTCAGGAACAACTATTAAAAATAAGCCATGTAATAATTCCTGCAAATAGTTTCTAGTTTATAGATTGCATATGAATGGGAAACTATGAGTGCAAACTCTGAAATGTGAGTTTTGTTCATTTGTGAATAACTGCACATATTGTGTGGCATGTGCTCCTCTTCTGGGTAATCTTTCTAGGCTAGGCTACCTGATGAGAATGTTGATTTGCATTGGTATTTTTTCCTGCTGCAAGCATCCCTAAATAGCTACGTAGAGTGTTCCATTTAGTCTTTGCAAAGTTTTGGGGTCCTCTTGGAGAACAGCTTTTCAAAGAAAAATGAAGACTTTTGAGGATTACCTTGCACAATGGGACACAACTATTGCACTCATAGTACATGATGCATGTGGTATAGAAAGCATGAGAGTCCCCCTCTTTCCACCCAAATCCGTTTGCAGTATCTGTGGAAATCATCTTTCTAAATACAGGAGGATGGAGAAAGCAAGCTACAATTTGACAGTAAACTTCATTTTCAGTGACAGACACGCCTACCCTTAAAAACTGGAGAGTTTGGCCTTATGTGAAGTCCTGCCAGAGTCTGTCCCAGGGAGTTGGTAAAACTGTCAGAGAGCTGTGGGTGCTGCCGAAGGGGCTGTGAGACACCAGCATTCTGCCCACACTGCCTTCCACGCTGGCAGGGTCAATGCAAATGCACCAAGGGGACAAGGGAACCCTCGTTTTCCTGCTGTTGACACAACCTGTAAACATTTGGTAACAAGTTTATTACACATTTTAAATGTAAGTGACTCCTCCATTATGTTACTTGGCTCCTCTAAGTTAAATTTTCCTGTAACTGAGCTGAGCAAAATCGGTATGGTTTTTGTCAACTTGTGTGTGTCTTAAATATATTTGTGTATGCGCTAAACAATATTTTGATCTAAATGCTGTGAAAAAAAAATACTTACAATTCTGGGCATAAAGATGGAAATTAAATACTGTATACAGTATGTGTATATAATATTAAAGCTACATATTGATGGTAAAGACCTGTTATAATCTTAAAGATTCCAGATAGGGAATAAGAAGTGGTTCACCACAACTAAGCTATGACTTGCCTGACAAATTCAAAAGCTCACTCTAGAGCTCAGGTGTCATGTACAATACTATGTGTGAACAATGTATATTACTTTTTCTGTTTTTATATTGATATGTATTGAATATTTAAAAGATTTTTTAATATTCAAAAAAATTATTTAGGTGTTAATGCCAAAAAGGTTCCAAACATAAAATTTTAAAAACTTAGTTTTAAATACAGATAAATTATTTAAAAAGTATTTAAAATATTAAATTATTTTATATAGGAATTGATAATACTATGTAAGACTTTTTTTAAAGATTTCTTTAAATTCTCTTTACATTCTCTATAGCTGCAGGATGTAGTCTCAGTTCAACTGTGACAATTCAATTCTTCACCTTCTTTAACAAGACAAGAAGGTAAACCAAAGCCCCAGATTTTCTTTCCTTTGTTTTACTATTTTTTACATTAAGAAACATTGCATAAAGGGCATTAGAAAAAGATGTTACATCTGTCAGGTACTGATGTCATATAAGCAAATCAATGCCTTTTCAGTCCAGTACAAATAAAAGACTTAGATCAAGAGAGTTTTGATTCTTTTTCATTTTGCTAACATGGAAAAAATGCAAGTGGTAGAAAACATGAATAGCCATAAAAGGAAGAAAGATGTCTTTGGTTATATCAATCTGGGATGACAGATTCTTTGATAATTAAATATAAATTCATATCCTCCAGCCAATCAGTCCCACAACAAACATATATTACTTCAGTCTTATATAAGCAATCAAAGTTAACTGAGAAAGACTGAAATACCATGTAAATTTTGTACTGGCCTCAATGCCAGTATTAATTTATTTTTTGAAGTTTAACACAGGAAAGAGAAAAAACAAATCCATACCAGCTGAATAAATAGTTGTTTTTGCCAGCTGAAAAGTTTGGTTTTTGGCTACTATTGAAAAAATATTTAATCAGCAGAACATCCCTCAGATGCAAAAGGATGTGTCAGTGTAGTTTTTTGCAAAGTGATGACTTGTCCTGCCCATGTGCTGAAATAACTTCCTTTCTTTACAACACCCTGCTGAGCATGTGCCAGAAGTAAAAGATCAAGTGTTGCTGAACCCAAGACTTCCTTCTCCTCATGCTTCCCTAAGTAAGGAACAGCTGAAGAAGACCAGTTTGGTCCAGGGCACCACACGAGTGGCATGTAACAAGCCTGCAGTTGTTACTGACTCCAGGCTGTCCCTGGGGAAGAGCTGCCGTGGTCACAGCATCAGATACTCAAGGGAGGCTTGTGCAGCTCACCCTGCCAGTGTGCCCCACCCTCCTCCAGTGCTGAGGAACAGGACAATCTGTGTCACATTTACTGTCAGACTTCAGCAAGTCCAACAGGTTCAGCTTAACACACAGCAGGCAGGCTCCTGGCACTGTCCATGAACCCACCATCACTCACACTCCACCTCAGAAGCCTGAGTGGGGATTCAAATGAGCCCTGTGTGCTCCTGCTCTCAGGCACCTGGGTGCTTCAGATGCAGACTGGGAGTTGCTGGGGTTTAGGAGCTTTCTCATGAGCAGAGCCAATGCCATTGCACTCTGGGTGGCAATGGCCATCAGAGCACTGGGTCTTGTGGCTATAGAGATTAACAGTACCAGCCACCCAGTTTTAATCCTCAGTACATCAGGGTGTATTTTACTTCAAGAATACTGATTTCTTAGCCTAACCTCATCTTAAAAAGTCAGTAAATCTTAAATGGCTGCGAACACAATCTCCAAATTACAACAAATCTAACCTGGTAATCCACCAGGATCTCAACAGCAGTACAACCACAAATGAAAGCCTTCTACTGTTGTCTTTTTTTTTTTTTTCATTTCTTTTTGTTACATTGCTCCTGCTGCTTAAGAGAAAATCTTAGCATTTATGTAACATTGATTTATGCTATTAAGCAATTGGAGCAATTTGCAGATGGTGGCATAGAGAGAGAATAAACAATACTCCTTCACGTCCCAATGAATACATTCAAAACTGCAATTTATTCACAGAAAATGAAAGTATTCTGAAGTAGTCTGAAATTTAGCATCAGTGTAAAGACATCACGAGTAAATCACTGGGCTTTCAGAGCTGCAGTGACTTGTCCATGTAATGATTCCATACAGGAATAACAGTTTAAACTTGCAATTTGAGCTATCTACTTATTTTTACCTTAAAAACCCCCCAACAAAACCAAAACCCAGTAAGAATTTAACAAATGACATGATATAATTCTACTCTGGAAAATGTGTGCATTAGAATAACATCTGTAGAGGCTTTCCTCTTAGCTAAACAATTAAGGATAAAACCCAATGCCTCAGTGCCTATATAAGACAGAAAAATCTTTCTACTGAGTCTGAAATTCTGGGATCAAGACCACATTCAATCCAAGAAGCCTCACAGTTGTCATTTATGTATTAGTCTGATTCATGGTAGGTATGTAAATGAATAAGAATAAGCCAAATATTAAATATTGATATTAAATTGGGTTTAGGCTAAAAAAAATCCACATTTCAGAACAGGATATATGCACAACATCCCTAAGACAATATTATCTTATCTCTCAGTGTATATGTCTTACATACAGACATGAAATATTTCAATAATAACCAGTTCCTATAAAAGAATTCTGGTTTGAGATCGCTTTTGCTAGCACAGCACATTTACTGCTCCCTGTCCTTCTTCTGAATTCTGGCCACATGAAACCTAATCAGCAGACTATTTTGATCAGAAGAAATGTTACAGGAGTGACATCCAGAAATCCTGTGTAAGTTTTACACTTGACTTAAGTTTTCTGACTTGTCATCACAAAATCTGATGTTATTGTGCCAAGCTGTGCCAGAAGGAAGATGCCTCAATGGGAATTTCATGCCAGCCCTGCAGTGCACAGATGCCTGGGCAGTGGAGGAGGCCTTCCCAGATGGCAGCAGAGCAGTGGCAGGGCAAAGCAGCCTCCCCCACCCCTCCATGTGTTATGGAAAGGAAGTTCTCCTGGTTCTTCAGACTTAGCTCTGTACGAGGATACAGTGAGTATATGCTGCCTTTACTTATCAGCTAGCAGGATGTTATTTTGATGAGGTAACAATGTAAAATACTTGGGAATTACAGGTTGCAATACACAGCTCAATTGGTCATTTCTTAAGACCATCAGAAACTGTCTTAAACTGGACTAGGCTGAAACCAGGTTAACGATAAGGACAGTGGTTGTAGTTCTCTCTTCGTTTAGCACTTGTAAAACCTATAGAAGTTAATCTGCTGCATCTTTCTCTGCAGTTGAGGTTAACATTCATATCCCTGTTTGCAGTTAGCAAAGTGGTAACATTGCTCAATGACACTTTACATTTTTACACTGTCCATATTGTTTATAACCAAAAGGATCTTGCAGTGAAGAGATTAGAAACAAGGACAAGAAACCAAGGTATTGTACCTTTTAAAATAAACTGTGAAAGATAAAAAGGACATATGAAGGACTGGCAGAGGGTGAGTAGAGGCAGGTTTGTTATTATCCTCAGCAGAGAGATGTGACATCTCATCAGTAGCACACCTGCACCCCAAAGCCCAGAAAGCAGCAGAGGCTCTTTGACCACCAGCAGCTGAGCACAGCCTGTGCTGTTTGTGCCAGGTGGGGCTGAGAGGGGACAGGTCCACACTGACTGGGGACAGAGCAGTCACACAGGGCCAGGCTTCAGTCTGAGTCCTTAACATACCTGTGCCTCATTTGTGATGACTGCACTTCATTTGATGACACATAGAGGAATGGGTCTAGAGCTAGTCATGGCTTGAAGCACCTTTTATCTAACTCAGAGAATTCCTCACTGTCCTCCCCTATTTCTACATACATCTATAAAGTCTGCTCCTCCAGGGAAACAGGGTTGATATCAAACACATTCAAAGACTTAAACTTCTACAAAATATTCAGAGAAATCTATGTAGAGGAAATATCTATGTTGACTCAAAACCAGTATGGTTTCTGTTGCTAAAAATATACTGGAATTCCTAGTTTTCCAATAGGTTTCAGTTGCAGTAATATGCCAGAACTTTTATTATGCCAGCTGATAATGGAATAGGGGTAGCAACCTTCTTGTTGAAATTTTGAAGCAATCTGTGTGGGTTGAATGAGGTATAAGTGAAAACTCCTACGGCCAGCACAGCTTTTAGCCAAGCACATTGCAGCCTTTCTTTTAAAACAGCTCACTGTTCTTTGCAATCATTTAATGGATTGCTCCATGCACATAACAAAAGCCAACCCATAATGAATGGCACTGCAGACTAAGTGTCCAGCCATAGTTTTGAGAGGTTGGCTCTCTGCCCATTTATTTCCTCACACACTTTTCCCAGTGCATGAGAAAATATAATGTATACTTGGAGCAATAAAACTGGCAGAGTACAGATTTGTCTCCATACATTTGTGAGATTTGTCTCCATACATTTGCTTTATCATTTTAACAATAATCATGTATCAGTGTAAATAACAAAAGATTTAGCCCAGTATCATATACAAAACACATCTTCATGTTGCAACTTCTGCAAGTTCAAAACCTGTCCCCAGCTCCAAAGACCCAAAGAGTAGTTGTATCATGTCTCTGCATGGCAGGCAGAGTAATAACAGCAACAGAAAAATGTTTTCTCCAAGATAAACAATGCCAGAACTCTGCATAAAACCAGTATTTGTCATCTTTCATATATAAACTTTATTTGGACCACTTGGGCTCAGAAATAGCTTCATTTACATACCAATTCTTTGACATTTCAGAGATGGCTCTTTTCATATCTCAATTTTCTTGTTAGTATGCAATGTGTTTGGTCAAAGAGCTTCCATTACTGACAATTTTCATACAGGGCCTTCTCCTCCAGTGAGGGTGGGGAATGTTTTCTCTTGAACAGAGCTAGTACAGAAACTACAATAGTCCTTCTGTTGTGTCATGAACTGCATGACTGATTTGGAAAAATAGTCTGGATTGGGGAGCACAATGAGGTTACAGGTACTCCTGTACTTTTCTCAGACAGCAGTAGCATTGATTTTCCCATTCACCTGATAGAAATAAAACACTTAATCTCATTCTTTCTTTGTTTACCTAACCCAGATGTGTATGGTACAAGCTTTGCTTAACTGTGGTAGTGAGAGTGAATGACAGAGATTATAGTCCAAATCATAATTATTTTTACAGGTTTTTTTTTTTAGGTTTTAACTGTCCTTTAGCCGAAATGTTGAAATCGCAGAGTAGCTAGAACCCAACACACGTTGAGAGCATACCAGAGCTAGAAAAATACATGTACTTAAGGAAGCTGTTGAAGCAAGATGCATTTTTCAACACCAAAGTAGTTCAAAGGAAACTGTAAAGCAGAAAATTTTCAGTTCCCACAGTGCAGAGGACTCAATTTGCTGCTCTGTGACAGAGCAGAGCACGAGCTCTTGCTGAGTCAGAGAGCTGCTGAAGCAGTAAGTGTGCAAGTGCTGGTCTGCATGCAGGCACAGGGAGTCGTGCTGCCAATCTCTGCAAGCCAATAATCCACAAGGAGCAGGAAAAGACTCAGCAGGACTTCAGTGAAAGCAAAAATTTGCAAGGGGGACAGCGTGCCCTTAGACAGACAGCAGCCCCCTGTGTTAAATGGTTTCTATCAAAACTTAGGAATACTATGAAGACCACAAGTTTACCAAAACCAATGTCCAAATATGGGTGAAACTTTCAAGAGCACATGATGGATTTCCAGATCTCAATATTTTTCCAAGAGTTTGTCCAAGCAGGAAAAAGAAGGGAAGAAAGGTAATAGAATACAGTAAAGATAAAAAAATTAGCTTTCAGATATGGAACTTCCTGAAAAATTACATCTGCAAAAATGTTCAGCCAACAACCTCAATGATCACAGATTGCTGAAGAGTTACAAGAGTAACAATTGAGTTTGTGAGTAGGATGACAGGCTTGCCCCAAGAAACCTATCCAAACATTTTGGCAAAATATCACTTAAATTATCAGGAGGTCTTTTAGGACCTTTTTTGGAATATTTCTTCAAAATATTGCCCATATGACTGTGCCTAATACTGATTAAGCAATTTCTCCTTATTTTACTGAAAAGCTTGTGTAAGTTGCTAGGCAAAGTGACAGGCCTCTGATTCTGCAGAGGTAACAAGCCAGTATCAAGGAAGATGCCCCTCCTGGAGGGGACACAGCATGTAATGCTGTAATGAGGGACTAAAAGAACTACAAGCCTGAGAAATACTGGCTATCACTTTGTAAACAGTTCTCTTTAGTGCTTGTGTTTGGGGAAGAAAATAATCCTGTCCTTCTCTGCAGTCCTGCAGCAAGCACAGACAAGCTCTTTTTGATGACAGCAATTCAACTTCCAACCTGGTGTACCTGCTCTTCCTCCTTTGGCTTCACTGCAATTGATGGACTAATATGGCCAAACATGACTTGTAATTACACACAGATTCATAGAAAACCTGCAAATGGGTCCTGGTGGTGTTTATTAGCTCCTCATACTTCCTGTCAGTGAGTCAGTGGCATTTGTATTTAAAAGGGCAGCTGCTGGGCTACCAAACCTCTGACTTTATCTCTGGGAAAACACTTTTAATTTCTGATGAGAATATTCTAATGAAGTACAGTAGGTGCACTGATACAAATGGAGTGTCAACACCTTCATATAAAAGAAAGGGGTTGAGTTTGACTTCATATAAAGCTCTCATAACTCTCAGCACATTGTTTACAGGCAGAACAAGTGAGTAGGAGTGCTCCTGCTTCCAGAGAAGAGCTATAGTATAATAAATTTAGCAGAGACCGATTACTGACTGACTTCCAGATACTACTGCATTATAAATAGCTGACTTTATGCTACTAATTTATTACTGTAAGCTAAGTAGTGTATGCATGACAGAAATTTACTTGTTTATCATAATGTTGGGGACACCAGTTGATTTCACCAGGAAAGGATGAAGGCTGGGGATATTTTTAAATACCTTAGTGTAAAAATACAAATTTTCATTAAAAAGAGAAATGGGATTTTACTATTTCCATGTGGAATACCACATTGCATGTGAAAGAAACCTCATGAGGGTGGAACAATATGGCACAAGTGCACTGTTACTAACCTGAAAATGTCTGTGACCTATGCATGTGAAATATTAGCATCAAGAACACACTTAAAACATCTAGAATGGGGGGGTTTTATCAAAATATGAATTATTTATAGCATAGAATAAGTTGGTATTATAGACATACAAATATAATTTGGACAGTAACAACTACATTTTTACCCTGTGTAAATTCTGCCTGTAGCTACAGCTGCATGCTCCATTTCTATGCTTCCCAGCTGCCAGCAGTCTTTGCTGGAGTGCCACATCTGTGCAGACTCCCAGTGCTGACTCACCCGAAGTGGAAATGGCCCAGTCAGCTCTCAGCTCTCACAAAAGGGTTGCACAACCAAACAGGCAGCACCTAACAACACATGCCTGGAGCTGCAGTTACCAAAGTGTGCTGAAGCTATCAAGGAAGTTGGAAGAAAGGCTGGGGAAGTACATAAATTTCAAATTAAATGACAGACTAAACACTACAGTATGACCCAATCTGCTTTTGGAATGATCTTTTTCTTTATTTTATCATTGCAGGAATTTTCTTGTGACTTATCTGAGTTACACCTAGCCTTGTGCCTTCCAAGAAAGCACCAGGGTCCCCTACTGAAAAGAATTGTGAAAATTCAACTATGAAAGAGCTGTGGAGCAGGATTAAGGCTATTATAGGTCTTTAATAACCACAGGATGTCAAGCATTAATACTGAGAGATATCAGCAGGTAAGAGAGACAATCTTCCTTCAGGAGTTACCAAGGTTATTATGAAAAGCCTTGACCCCAGCCAACCCTCCCTCCCTCTCCTCCCACTCCAGTAATTATCTCAAATCAACAGGACAGTGAGTTTAGCTTGTGAAGTTAACAGGGCTTCAAAAAGGCCACTATTAGTCTGTCCAACAGCCTTCAGTTTGCTTTGTGTGTGTCTTAATGAGTTTCCTGTTTTGGCAATTACAGAGTTGGTTAAATGGTACCTATGTGACCTGGCAAATGAAAATCTGTAATTGTTACATTTTCCTCATGTAAGAAAAACAAAATTAACATTTCTGAGACAGAAATCTCTATTTCTATGAATATAAATCTATTAATATAATTCTTCAGTTTAAAAAAGCAGTTTACATGATCCTGAACAAGTTTTATATGTTCTGCAAACTTCTAACATACTCCTCATGTATCCATGCCTGTAGTATTTACTTCACAGTAGCATCTGGATTTTATTGTGAAAATATGAAATTCTTCAGATGTTAAACTCTTTCCCTTCCAAAATTTGTCATTTTAAGTTCAAATTTATCAGTTTGTAAGCACCTGTACTTGAATTTTATCACAAATTCCCATCCTCAGGGTTCTTTAAATAATTCAGAATTTATTCCTAAACTCAGTGAAAGCATAGTATCTATCTATGGACTTAACTCCTTTAGATTTTCTGAGCTTTCCAGGTAATTGGAAAAGAAGGGAAATATGATTATATCAAAAATGTCAGTTTTAAAATTGCATTGACAGGAAAAGTCTTAAGCCTGGAGGTGGTCTGCCCTGGGGAAAAGAAAAAGGAAGGTAGTGAGTCAGGTTTTTAATTTCTTTAAAGCCATAATTATCCTGGGCATGAGAAATAAGTTAGGAACATGGGTTCACTTCTTTGAAGAACTAATACTACACAGCACTCTGTAAATTTGTAAATACAATTGTAAAAATGCATTCAATTCAATTTATAGCTTATATATTGACTGTCTATAACTTTATACATGCGCATTTTTCTATTAAAAATGTAATTTTATAATATTTTGAGTATCACAGTATCATCACAGGAACTTTCAAGACAAAATAATTACCTTCTTTCAACCCCATGACTAGTACTGCAAGAAGTATAAAAGTAGTATTATCTTGAGACTTTTTTTGAAATTTATTTTTTAGCAAATGTTCTCTAAATCCACTATGAAGCTTGTATTGCTAACCTCATTCTGTCTTCCAAAAGGGTATTTCCCTGGAAAATTGCATAATCCTAAATAACAGATGAAAAAAGCAAGGCAAGGAAAATCTTTGGAGGGATTCAGTTCTTAAACTATTCTAATTAAAAATTTTGCAAGCAGCTTAAACAAAATATACAGTGGCTTTTAAATGACAGCCTCACTTTGGAGAAGCAAGTTAATTCCAAGATGAGGGATGGTAAAAGGATTAAAGGGCACAAGGCAGAATTTAAACTGCAGTAGGGCTATTAAATTGACCACGGGATTGAGATTATACTTTCTAAAGCCATTAATGCTGAAAACTCTCACTGAGTCTAATGGAGGTTGGATCCATGTCTTCCTGAAAAAAAAGGCAACTTCCTGCACAACTTCATTCTGAGGAAGTGCAAAGCTTTAAACCACCAGAGCCATCTGAAAAAAGACAAATGTCTGTCCCTACAGCAGTCTGTGGAGAACATGAACATAAAAGCACATGGTGACCTGATTAGTTTTTTTAAGTTTGGTGGGCAATAAAAACATTAATTTGCTGGCACATGTACTATGGAGATCCTGCAAACAGCCAAACACAGGCCTAAAGCCTTCTGGTGCCATCCTCCTGCTGGGCATGTGACAGATGTCGGGGTGGTCTCTTCCCTTTCTCCAGTACTCCTCTTTCTGCCATTCTTTCAAGCAGAATTTGTAATCCTAAAACATTCCTGGAAGGTCCTACCAAGGAGTGCCATATTTAGAACTAATTGCTACACTAAGGGCTTGGAAGAAGGAAACATGAGCTGGAGAGAAAATAGCAAAGAACACACAGGGGAGTGACATCCTACTGAAACTGTGGGATTTGAATTCTGCAGATCTACAGAAATCTTAATCTGGTTGAATATATACTACTGATGTGAATGAGTGGATCCAAGTAGTAACTTTACTAACATATCTGTACCTATTATGCCTTCAGGAAAATTACCTTTGAATACATGTTCAAGATAACATCTAATAGTATATTAAAAACAGACAAAACGGCCACAGCTATAACTAATCATAAGAAAAAATAGACAGTGGTCTCCTAATCTACATAGCTTTACACTATTCTCAACTAATCTAAAGCTCATATAGTATTTATCAGGTACCATAAACTAATCACCATCTACAGATACAGATATTAGGGAAACACAAATTAGTGATAATGTAACACCACCTTATTTTTATAGATATTCCATGACCCCTGGAAGCTTTGGGAGGTTAACTGCTTATGAAATTTTTATATGAAGGTGTACACGTATTCATAGTACATGGGGTTTTTTGTTTTTGTCAGACAGCTTAATGAGAGGACACTTCCTTGGGCAGAACTGGATAAGGAGCCTATATGTCTCTGCTGCTTTCCTCCTGCTGTATTTACTGGCTTGCAGATTTAAACACATAAATGGAGCATGGGAAAACAGCCAGCTGGAGACTTGGCACCACATTGTGTGCTATTGGGTTTTCTGGTTTTCTCCTTCTTATACCAGCAATGTGGACAGTTCATGAAGAGCCAGACTTCACACAAATGAAGAAAAAAACCTTTTTGGATCCTAAATGTAGACTATATTATGGACACTCATGTTTTGGTATATGCATTAAGATATTCAAAAGACTGAGAAAAAATACTAAGAATAATCACATGCTTTAAATTAAAACATCCTTTTGTTTGAATCAACAAAGCAACATCAGGGATAATCAAAAAGACACCACAGTAACAGGCTCTGCTCCCATATTTTTATGCCTGTTGACCCTGGAAAACACATCATAGCTGTTAGATATAGACAGATCCAGCTGTCTATATCTAGACAAGAAGCATCATATGTCAATGCTTTCAATTTCCTACTCATCCATGGATGATGGAATCTATCAGGAAGTCTATTTTGAGACCACCAAGGGCAGGGTGAAGGCTGGCTATATTATGGAGATACACTGAGGTGCAATCTCCTAAGTGGGGATGTGCTGTAAAGCACATACTATCTTTTTTCCACTGCTTCTTTCCTAAAGGACTGACATATCAGCACTACAAATGCAAGCAAGCATCACAAGTGGCTCGAGTTAACTGGGTATTAAACTTTGCATCCCAGTGCCTCATTACAACAGCACATTCCATACCTGGGACTTTCTTTTTCACAGACCACTGCTACAGAGCTGTGTTACTGATACTTTTTAATCTACTATGCTACCTTTTTTGAAGTGTCTGCAGTAAAAAAAAATCAGAGCAATCTCTTGCATGACTACTTCTTACTATGAAAAATATAATTTGCATTTTATAGCTATGGAATAATTTTCAGGAAAGGGTTCTTCTCAGTTACTTAAATATTTAACAGACTCTAGACCCTCTTTCCAGCAGTTTTTCAGTCAGCTGCAATTTTCTCATAATTAAGATAAAGCTATGGCTGAAATGTATGGATTTGTATAATTACAAACACGTTTGCTGGCACTTCCCTTTACAAGATAGGTAAGGGAATGATATTTAGGAAGACTTCGCTTTTCTTATTTTTTTTAAAATACATAACTCATATCAAGTATACTAAAAACACCACCCAGTACTATACCAGCAGTACCAGAGTGAAAGTCACAGTGTTTAAGGCCATAAATGCCACCCAACCACACAGCCTTACCCTCTCTATGTCACATCCCATTAACACTAATGTTACTGCCTTCCCCCCCCCCCCCCCCTTCTTTCTCTTTTCCCCTAAAGAAGATTCATCACAGATAGTCTAGGACTGAAATTTTGGTTTTAGCTGCTCAGGTTAGAAATGCATTTAATTTTTGCTGTGTTGTAAACCAATTTTTCTATCAACTTAAAAGAGTTAAGTGTTTCTCTGTTACTGAAGGTCAATGAACTTTTGATGTCTTGCTTACTTGAAAGCACTATTCACAGTGCAGAATAATAAAGATTCTGCTCTTGTTTGGATCATCTTCTTCAAGTCTGAGGGCAAGCTTCCTTGAAAGAAGGTCTGCCAGGACACAGCACTTCAGATTAGTTTAATTCAAGCACTAGGAGTGAGTTTTCATCCATCACAAGTGCCAGCTGGATTATCCACCTGTTTATTCAATGGCTATCAACACTCACTGTAGTAACTACTCCTCCCTCAGCCCCACTGCTGTGTGCACAAGAACACAGCAGAGAGAATCTCCTTCAAGAACAGATTGAGCTCATTGGAACCTACTGATGACTCCAATTAATTTCTGATTTTTGCCCCCAAATCCTACACTACATTTCCGCTTCCAGATAAAGACACACTAACCAGAAATATTTTAATAGGTAAAACAATTACATTGACCTTCAGGATTGATTTTTGGGAAACTTATCAAGGAATGAGAAATGTATTTAAATCAAGTCTAGTTAATTGCAACAGAAGACAAATACCAAACTGTTAGTATTCCTGCCTCCCTGATATCCCTTTTGAGAGACAGGGAGGAAGGAAAAAACCTGCCAGACCTGTCTTCCCTGAAATGAATCACCTGTTTTAGATCAGCAGAGTAAGGTTTCATCTACTGTAGGGGTGATTATAAAAAAACAGATAAATGAAATTTGACAAATTAGATCTTATGCTTCAGAAGGTAAAAGTCACTGAAGAAATCAATAAAACAATGCCCCTACAATGCTACTCCCACTTGCAGCATCAGGCTGTCATTTATTTCTTTTGGTAATACTGAAATTGATTGAAGCTGAGTGTAGGATGCACTCCTGAGAATAAAATATTTGTAAACAGAAGGTTTTTATTTCATTATAGAGCTGTTAGACCTGGAACA